CAGAGCGGCTACACGCTCGCTCGCGGATCGAAAAGTCATGAGTTCGCTCCCCGGGTAATGTCTACGGGTGAAGAATAAGGTGAAACATCTGGTTCTCAACCTGGTCCAGTGGAATTTAGTAAATGCTCAACACTCAGGGGAAGGGGCGAAACGCGTATGCAATCAGACAGTTACTGGTGCTATCGGGATTGAACATATTCGTTTGTTGGTGAGGCAGGGGACTAATGGGGGTGTCCCGAGTGCTGTAAGGTGGGGGGGGGGGGGGGGGGTTCTTCTAAATTTAACATTCAACGTTCTACGTACTGTAAGATTCGTCGTGGAAAATTCATTTCGGTTTTTTTTTTTTTAAATTCCTCTTTCTCTATTGTTCCTGTCAATGACTACGGTACTCACTAGTAATACAATGTTGGTAAAATAAAAACATTTGTAGTGAATGCTCTTTTCTATTAGTGGTAACTGTTACGTGTTTCTCTTGCAGAAAATGTTACAAGTGCACAAATTATAATCCCTGTTAATATCCCAACTAAGCTTAGTTAGTTTTAGTTGCGCATAGTCAATAAAACCCACTTACATTTCAACGTTTCTTATGAGCACTTTTATCCAGACTGTAAATACGACAATGTGATTTGGATGACGATAGTCTAGCGGCCACAGGCATCGTAAATCACCAAAGTCGAGGTATAAAAGGTAAAGTGAGAATGTCGACATAACCTCAAGCCACAGCTGCAACAGATTTCTACATACACTTTTAGACTTATCATAGGATACATATACATGTATATGTGTGTGTGTGTTTGTGTGTGTGTGTATATACAACAGATTTCTACATTCACTTTCAGACTTATCATAGGATACATATGCATGTATATGTGTGTGTGTGTTTGTGTGCGTGTATATACAACAGATTTCTACATACACTTACAGACTTATCATAGGATACATATGCATGTATGTGTGTGTGTGTGTTTGTGTGTGTTTGTGTGTGTATATATACAACAGATTTCTACATACATTTGTAGACTTATCATAGGATACATATACATGTATATGTGTTTGTGTGTGTATGTGAATATATATATATATATATATATATATATATATATATATATATATATATATATATATATATGTGTGTGTGTGTGTGTGTGTGTTTGTGTATGTGTATAATATATATACATGTGTGTGTGTTTGTTTGTGTTTTTGTGTGTATGTATATACATAAATATAACTATAATTTTATATATATATATATATATATACATACATATAAATATATATATATATATATATATATATATATATATATATATATATATATATATATTTGCTAAGAATTAATACAAGAAAAAAAAACGTGAAGTGCCCCTTTTCGCGCTCTTAAGCTTATTGGGCATATGGGGCTAGACCTATCTTTTACAGACCAATCATCCTAAAAATTACTACAGAAACATCCCTAGAATTCCATGCACAGCAAAAAAAGCAACCCAGAAAGTTTGAAAGAGCCGAGGGCTCAAAGACAACTTATCACAAACATCAGAAGGAGACAGTCAGCATTTTTTGGTCATGTTATGAGAAATGGAAAGCATGAACATGTTGTGCCCACGGGAAAGCTCAATGGAAAGAACTACTAAAAAAAAAAAAAAACAACAGCTCAGAAGATTCTTGACGGCCTCTGTCATGGAATGGAGAGATGTCAGCACACGAACTGATACATGCAGTTGATGATCACAGTATGTGGAGAGGCACGATTGCCCGCGCCAAGGCAAAGTTCTTGATGATTGTCGCATGACAGAATCCACACATCTGCCGCAGTAGGGAGGTCCACAGGCTGAACACCCCCAAAATCATCATCGTTACTATGATTTAGTATGGGCCGACCATAGTTATATAGTTCGTTTGTTGTGGGGGAGTCCTGATAGTAAAGATTCCTATAAATCACTATGATATTGACTCTTTTAGGCTTTTGGTGTCGAATTACACGTTAGGACACATTTTCTACGCCTATTCTAAATAAATTGTCTGACCACTGCACTGCATTCGTGAGCGGGATTCGTACGCTAACTGCTGTAGTTGGGGAACGTGTTTTTGTGCGTCACTTCTCTATGGTCCGGTCTTGGAGGCAGTCGCTTTTATTGTGTGTCGCCAATTGACCGTTAAAAAGACAAGATTCTTCATTCTCTTTTCATTTATCATGGGTGAGTTTTCATAGGGACTTTTAATTGAGGTAGGTAAGTAAGGTCAGCAGATTGATAATGCGAATCTGTTTGACTACGATTCTTGCGATGGAAGACGGCGAAGGGAGCTCCGGATTGGAATGCACTTTCGGCTGACATTTTTCGGAGAATTCTTCGAAATGGCCTTCTAAACCTCTTAGGATTAATCAATCCACATATCTGGAGTGGGTTTGTGGTATTGATAACTTTGTATGATTAGTTATTTGTTGTTATTCGGTATCAGAACTTGGTAAGTCGCTGAACCGTTGTGAATGACAAGAAGCTTCTGGGCAGGCATGACGTCATATCCGCTGTTGCTAGGTGACTTCGTAACCACAACAAGCTTAGACTGTCGTATTGTTTTCAGAACATATTTCAGTCGGTCTTGGTTTTGACTTCATCGCCTATCCCTTATCTTCCCTATTAGTGGAAAGGGTATTTTAGAAGGGAGGGTAAATAATGGAGATCTGTCTAACCTTCACTACAGGACTGAATCCAGGAACTATTCGAGTTATTGATCTAGTGCTCACTCTAGGAAACTAAATGGATTCCAAGATAGAGGTAAACAACCTTCATGGTTTGGAATAACCTCAAGTATATCTGAGCATTGGGAGGGAGTAAGGACTTTGATTAACTGGGTGCGTTGGGTACGGTTCGCTCATGAGTGTTGCTTTGCGTTTTTCAGGATTTCTGAAGATCCAACAAGTGTCCGTGTCTGGTAGAGTGGTTCCATCTGCCACCATCCAATAAGCGATTGACGTGTGGTGAATTGCTGTGCTGAATGTGTGGACGATACTTGAGTCGACGTCTTTCGATTTCGAGTTGATTGTCCTTGATCAATGCCAGAGGCTGCTTCGTTCCTGTGAAGTCGTGCTGGGAAGTACGGCAGTGAGAAACTCCTTTCCGGCATCCTGAGAAGCGGCTTCGTTCCTGTGAAGTCGTGCTATAAAGTACGGTGGTGTGAAACTCCATTCCGGCCTCCTGAGGAGTTACGAGATCTAATCAGATAAGTCGAAGTAATAGTCGTGAAATGGCTCGACTCCAAAAAGGCCGTAGTAATCAATTCTCCACCTCCGCCATGATGATCCAGGAAGTTGAAGTGTCTATGTAGAAAAACTCTTTCTCTAGTGTTAGATATTCAAAGATTTGAATCTTCCTTTTGAATTCTTCACGCTACTTTTTGTCAACTTTGTTATGGTGAATTAATTACATTTATGTTATAGTTCATCAGTCTTCTGGTTAGTAGAAAAGTTTTGTTTTATTGAAATTCATTGCCTTCTTCAGAAAGGTAGTCTTATCTTGTCAAGTTCACTGTTGATTACTTGTTCGACTGGGTTTACATTATCCCAGTCTGGGGGCAAATCAGTGGTGGGGACGTCTGGCCGAGAGGTACCCAAGTGTTCATAATAACCCTGTGGAGTCAGAGCTCGTGTCACCTCATCCCTGAGACCGGTTGAATGGAAAGTTTGAACCGAGGGTTAGGCCTCTAGACGAACGAGAGCCACCATTCAAAACACTCCTGTCTCAGAGCACCTGAGGGATTTGTGAAAATATTCCGTTAGTAAAGGTGCGCGACAAAACTGCCATACGACAATGATGATGAATATATATATATATATATATATATATATATATATATACTTAATCATGTGAAGTTTAAAGGTAAAGTCGGGAGACGTGAACCAGCGTCATTGCACACGGTTATAAACCATAAGTGCTCTGCCACCAGTACGGTCTGCTGATAAGAAACTGTCCCCCTGTGTCTTGGTCCGCACGCAACTCCGTAGCTACCGTGACGTTCCTCTATTTACCCCAGAGTGTACTCATTACCTAGATGCTGGGTGAACACCGGGAACCGCCAGGTTTTGAACACCGGCCGCGGGCTGTAGCGAGTCGCAGCTGGATTTGAAAGCGAGTCTCTTATCGACTAACGCTGCCCCCAAACTTTAAAATGTATCTATCTATATATGTATCTATCTATCTATCTACCCATCTATTTGTCTATCCATCTATCTAATCTGAATGTATGTCCCTTTATCTATCTATCTGTTTATTTATGTGTATGTATGTCTGCCTTGATGTCGGTCTGTCTTTCGGTCCGCCGTTATGTCTGTCTGTCTGTCTACTGAATTTTTTATTTCAATTTCATTGTTCGTTCTGTCTCTCTACCTCGTGTTTTGTCTGTCTGAATGTATTTCATCGTGTCTGTATGTCTGCCAGCCCCCTGTATTTTTGTCTGTCTGTCTTAGAACTTAACATTAGTCTGCCAATCTATCTATGCCCACAAAAATAGTTTATGGTGTTTCAATTATAGGCCGAGTTGACCAATGACGTTGAGTTATAAATAAAATTAAAAAAAAAAAAATAATGTCAAAAACAAAAAACGCACACACGTACAAATAGACCATTATTTAAATTCCTAGCTCTTATCTCATTCTCATTCAGGCGTTGAATGTTCTTGCATAGCCCTGATCTCATTCAAGCGTTGACTGTTCTTATAAGAAATTAATTTGCTCCGAAGATGCATTTGATACAATCTTTTTTGCCCAGAAGTGCGGCACTTTACCCTCAGTCAGTATAATCTATGTAGATAACATATTCACTTAAAGATAATCAGCTGAATTTGTCTTCCTGTTCACGCCAGATTAACAGCCCTCTTCTTCAATTTTGGGCTTTGTTTGGGAGCACCATGACCTGGGGAGTACCCACTATAAAAGACTAGAGGAGAATGACAAAGCGTAACGTTGGTTTGTCCGTGAGAGCTGACATTGACAAGGGAGGCAATCAATGATGGGTAGCTGTATCAATATGCTCCTGTTCGTGCTAGTTGCTTTTATTGGTAAGTCCTTGCAATTCTTGACTTTCACATTTTAGAATCGTCCATAAGGTAGTTGTTCATTCGTCTAAGTACACTTGTTCGTGCAGCAAGGCGCTGACATGTTCTATTCATTGTATGGTCACGATACCAGGTAATTTTCCAGATTGGAGCACCTGAAGTACAGTTCTTGCATCTTTAAGAACACCACGGGATGTGATACATGACTGGTATATAGCAGTTTCTTTGCTGCTTGCTTCGTGGCCTGAACTTCTGCATCACATTTCTGACAGGGCTTTCGGCTGATATTGTAGCTGCATCCCTGGTTTTATTCGGATGCTCAGTGTGCAGTCCTCCTCCTCCATTTCCGCTTGCGTTTTGTACTAACCCATCGATTGTTATTTTGTCCAGTGTGTCCTTCTGTGTTTAGACTATTTTATGTGAGTGCTGATCAATAAATTGTCTGTTTGCTTATGATATATTATGTTTGCTTTGTTTTTGAATAATCTTTAGTGCTTGTTGAGCACACTCATAAGAGCTCCGAACTTCTCCTAAGAATGTTTATTAGTGCGTTTACAAAGACATCATATCAAGGCAAAACTTCGTGCCGAGAGAAACACGGGTGCAAGCCAAACTCTACGGGCCCTGAGTTAATTACACAAGTCAGTGAAGTTCAAACTGGATACGACACTGCAAATATAGATAATGTATTTCCACCCCACGTATAAAACTGGCTGTCACCCAAAAATAACAATAAATGATGAGGAAATTGAAAATGTCACAAACTGTGAATATCTAGGCTCTATAATAAACAGCAATGGAGACTGTTTGACAGAAATTAAAAGGTGGATGGTCAAAGCAATGCAAAGATTGAACAGCCTTAAAATTTATGGTTAAGCACCAGCAAGGAGATAAAAATTAGAATTTTTAGAGCATGTATCTTTCCTGTGGCTAAATACGGATGTGAGTCATGGACTATCTCTCAGTCCTGAAGAAAGAGAATATGGGCTTTTGAGCTGAAATGCTATAGAAAGATTCTGAGAAAATCTTGGACAAAGAAGAAGAGAAATACTGACATCTTAAAAGATCCAAGGAAGATTATCTGATAAACAGCATCCTGTCTCAAAAGCTGAAATATTTTGGTCATATCAAGCGCCACGATGGATTAGAAAAAATTATAGCAGAAGGCATGGTACCAGGAAGGAGGGGCAGGAGCCGACTGACACGAAGATGGGCACTGGATATAAGTGACTCCTTGAGTATAAAAGAACATGAGGTGGGAGAACTGGCGGGAGACCGAGTTTCTTTTAGGCAGACTGTGATGGAAGCGACGTCCTGCAAAGGACCTGCTACATGATGATAGTTCAAGCTAACAAAAGAAGATGAACAAGAATGAGAAGACGATGGAAAGAGGATATGCCAAGAACACATTATATAGAATTACAAGAATGTTGTAGCACTGGAAATACCATAGGCAAGGGAACAAAGAGAAGCAAATCAATACCGAAAATATCATTAGATAAAAACAAAAATACAGATTGGGACACATTTGAAAAGATGCAGCAGTGTGCAAAGAGTAGGCAGTAAAGAATTCTTTTTTTCCACTTCTTTAGCCGTATTTGGCATATAAGGCTAAACATATACTAAATAGACCAGTCGGCAGTCGTTGGGTGATGTGGTCAACATCAGTTCGGCTGCCTTTACTTCCTAGGGCCTTGCCTGGTACCAGTTCATGGCTGTGTCAAACTTTGGTCAGTGTCGTTTTTGACTGTTGAAAATAGCCGAAGCTTTAACAATTAAAATCAACAACCCCCTACTTTGTAAGCAGGAGGAATTCGTAGTAAATTTGTAGTTACCCTGGTAAGTCACATGACTACGGTGAGCGTCCAGGTGGCCAAAACACACACAATGTGTCGACAAAAATATTTTCATTTAAGTTGGATTTTTTAAGTGTTGTGCTTCATTTAATGTTGATGTAACTCTGTAGTACGAGATACAGATAAATATGCCTGGCAATAAATTGTGCAATGTATTGTTTGTGTGCGCACTATTAACTATTTAAATTTCCTGTGTATACTTAACCCCAAAATGGACAGCATATTATGATTTGACAGCCCCACCACGGGTTGACTTCACGTTATTTTATAGGTAGGTAGGTGCATTAGTGGGGTGGGGGCGAGGTGGATAAACTAGGGGAGCTTAAAGGGGGAGCTTTTGGTTATAATTGTAACTAGACATGTGCGCCAAATAAAATAGTATAGCATTACGCGCCACCAAGAGAACTGAAAAGGACTTATGCAGTGTTCACGCGATCAAAGAAGACAGACCTAAATACTGACCCGATCAACGACGAAGCCTCCATCCAGTGCCGAATCTTCTATAAAATGTAGGTCTAGCCCTGTGAGCCCAATACGCCTGATGGTGTGGAGAAGGGACCTTAACCTCACTTGCATGAAACATTACACTTTGCGTCTTAGGCTGTGTATGGTGCTAGCGGTGTTTAATTTCCAACACGCACTAACTGCCCTAGAGCAAGAGGCAGACCGAGAGTACGATGGATAGACAATATATCAGAGATCCTGAGGCAACACGGACTAACAACAACACGTGCAACACACCGGGCCCAGGATAGAAAACTGCGACTCACCACTACGCTGTGGGTCAATTGTGGACAAGACAAGACAAGACAAGACAAGACAAGACAAACAAGACTAACTTTCCTAGACATTTATTCCAGGCTTCATTTGGACGTCAAATTACTTCGGGACCCTGGTATAACAGTTCGGCCCAATTGTTCTAATCGGAATTTGTACACGTAAGATGCTCATGCCTGAGGAGGTTGTTCTCCAGACTGCAGTCCTGTCGTAAACAAACGTCAGGTCTAATATGGAGGAACTGGGGATGGCAGAATGTTGAGCTTTGAAGTTATTTTTGCTCCTGACAGCGCTTTGCTAATCCAGTGTCCTAATTTGGACGGTACTGCCTGAGTTTAGTGCTTGGTGCAGCCCTGTGAGCCGTGTGTGTGTGTGTTTGTGTTTGTGTGCCTAACTGTGGCCAAGATGGAAATTATCGATTTGTCTTTTTGAGGTCAGAGGGCATCTGCCTGAGAGGTGACGAACCAACAGTTTGCACACAGTAACCCAGATCTGAGTTAGTTCCACAGAAATCTCCCTAGCCCAACTAGGTCACGTTTCACTAATACATTTTTTTAGACTCGTCTGCTGTTCATGGGGGTTACGGCTATGCTTGTCTTGCATCTTCGTTTTTCTTCCGAGAAAGAGAATGCCTGTGACATAGGTTGCAGCACTCTCTAAGGGAGTTGTGGGTTAGACCCAGTTTCTAAATGATTTTGTAGTTTTAAAAGTGCTGGCGTGCAAAAATATACAGCACGCGATATCAAGGACATTACCAATCAAGACCCTCACCCTTTTTTCCCCCTAGCAGTGGGCGAAGGTTGGGTGACTGGAGTTCGACCACTCAGAAGTGAGCTAGTGTAAAGTGTAAAACCTGGAGAAATTATCGTGAAACTAACCTATGTCTGTAAAAGGGATATACAAGCGACACTCGTGTCCGAAAAAAAAGAAGACTACAGTGCGGAAGTGAACTAAACACCAATACTTCGCTCTAGAGTTTACAGCTGGTGAACGCTAAGACGCCAAACAGTTAAGCTTACTTGGCTCTCATGCGGTAGACCCGGGTTTGAATCCTCTTCTCCGTAGGGATGGATAGCTTTTTTTTTTTAGAGAGGCAACTTCAAATCCTAACCCGCAGCACTAGCTATGCGGCCCCAAATCTCCATACTCAAAGACAAACCCCCATTCGTCCGTTGCTGACAAATATTTCCGATAATCATTTTAATAATCAATCCTTTCTGTCATGGATAATCATTTTAGTAATCAACCCTGTCTGTCGTGGACACTAATTTTATTAATCAACCCTTTCTGTCGTGGATAATCATTTTTTAATCAACCTTGTCTGTCGTGGATAATCATTTTTAATCAACCCTGTCTGTCGTGTATAATCATTTTAATAATCAACCATGTCGTGTATAATCATTTTTATAATCAACCCTGTCTGTCGTGGATAATCATTTTTTAATCAACCCTGTCTGTCGTGGATAATCATTTTTTTAATCAACCCTGTCTGTCGTTGAAAATCATTTTTTAATCAACCCTGTCTGTCGTGGATAATCATTTTATTAATCAACCCTTTCTGTCGTGGATAATCATTTTAATAATCAACCCTTTCTGTCGTGTATATTTACTTTAATAATCAAATCTTTCTGTCGTGGATATTCATTTTTAATCAGCCCTGTCTGTCGTAGATAATCATTTTTTAATCAACCCTGTCTGTCGTGTATATTCATTTTTTAAATCAACCCTGTCTGTCGCGGATAATCATTTTTATAATCAACTCATATATTTCTCCTGGGACTATTTGTTTGTTCATTGTTTTTCAAATGCGACAATGAGGGACATTTCAATTGATTTTCACTGGTACAGACAAGAACGGAGTAAGGATGGGGAAACCCGATTGAAGTGAAGTTAAAACCTCAACAAGGACTAGAATAAGTAAACAAACCTCTCAGGATAACTCCTGCTATTCATTTCCGGTTGGGTCGATATAAGAACCCAGGAATTGTTCTTATTTTTCTCGTAGGGATTATATTAAAAGCATATGGTGGTGTATGTATCTGTGAAAGCGTGCGTTCGTGTACGTGTCAATGTGTGTATACCTTTCAGTCCATCGTGTGACTTTACCGTTTCACTGATTGTTTCCTTTTAAATTTTCTCATAGGTGCCGCCCAGTCAGAAGTGAACACAGGTATCTATCTATCTATCTATCTATCTATCTATCTATCTATCTATCTATCTATCTATCTATCTATCTATCTATCTATCTATCTATCTATCTATCTATCTATCTATCTATCTATCTATCTATCTATCTATCTATCTATCTATCTATCTATCTATCTATCAATCTATCTATCTATCTATCTATCTATCTATCTATCTATCTATCTATCTATCTATCTATCTATCTATCTATCTGTCTGTCTGTCTGTCTGTCTTATATATCTAATCTATCTATCTATCTATCTATCTATCTATCTATCTATCTATCTATCTATCTATCTATCTATCTATCTATCTATCTATCTATCTATCTATCTATCTATCTATCTATCTATCTATCTATCTATCTATCTATCTATCTATCTATCTATCTATCTATCTATCTATCTATCTATCTATCTATCTATCTATCTATCTATCTATCTATCTATCTATCTATCTATCTATCTATCTGTCTGTCTGTCTGTCTGTCTGTCTGTCTGTCTGTCTGTCTGTCTGTCTGTCTGTCTGTCTGTCTGTCTGTCTGTCTGTCTGTCTGTCTGTCTGTCTGTCTGTCTGTCTGTCTGTCTGTCTGTCTGTCTGTCTGTCTGTCTGTCTGTCTGTCTGTCTGTCTGTCTGTCTGTCTGTCTGTCTGTCTGTCTGTCTGTCTGTCTGTCTGTCTGTCTGTCTGTCTGTCTGTCTGTCTGTCTGTCTGTCTGTCTGTCTGTCTGTCTGTCTGTCTGTCTGTCTGTCTGTCTGTCTATCTATCTATCTATCTATCTATCTGTGTGTATGTGTCTGTATGTGCATCTCTGTGTATGTCTGTACGTGTGTCTGTGCGTGTGTTTGCTTGTCTGTGTTTTTTATATTATTTTTTCACTCCCAGAAAGACCTATTCCCACACAGACAAATTCCCACACAGACCTATTTGCACACAGACCTTTTCGCACACAGACTTAATCGCACACAAAACCTATTACCACTCAGACCTATTCCCAAAAGCCAGACATTAGGAGTAATAATCACACAGTGGCAGGCACACAGAACCAGTCAGACTAAGCCAATCACACAACACATGTTTTTTCTTAAACTGACAGTCCAAGAAACAGCAGCACTTAAGGAAGTCACATTTTCACATTCCAGCTTATAACGACGCCACGACAGACCAAGCATGTGTGGCCAAATACCAACGAAGAACTAAAGGAAGCAGCCAGGAGAGTTGCCAAGAAATCACCGACGCTGCAAGATGCATTTCCAGAGCCGGAGGTTTCATGGGCAGGACGCCGAACGATACTGACAATGCTCGGTTCATTGCGCAACTGGCACCGATCACTGCAGTTCCACGGAAGGATTGTCCGCTAGATATCAAAACGTTGAACGAGAAAGCGGCTTTAGAAGTAGCCTCGGCTGTTGCTACCGTGCTCACAACAGGTGATGAACCAGATGGAGCCATGACAATGTCAGGTAATGAATGTCTTTATCGTGTGTCCTGCTGCAACACTTGTACTTTTTCTTTTTTTCGCCCGAAATAGATTATCTATATATGTAATGCTGTCTCTAGTTTGAACTTCACTGTCTTTTGTATTTCGTTTATCTACCCGTAACGTTTGCCCGCTTAGGGAGAATACCTTTTAATGATATACTATATAATGCATATACCCAAAGAGGAGAGGGACGTAGAGCAAGAGGTAGACCAAGAACATTATGGGAAGATAACATCAGAGAAACCCTACAGCACCACAATGTGTCTATGGTCGAAGCAGCCAGAAGAGCACAAAGCAATAAGTAGGACCTTATATCTCCCTCGACACCCGAAGCGATAAAAGAGGACGTAAATAAGAAGATAAAGAAGACCCGTAAAGTTTGACTTCGTGTTGTGACCATTGGAAAGACATGTGGGAAAAGAGACAGAGGAACACAGTACGGGGGGGATTATTCACGGTATTTTGACATGGCATGGAAGGGTGTCAACCAATGCCATCGCGGATCGCCCCGATTGTGGAGATGCATGATCGCTAATGCAAGTCGGCAAGGCACTTAATCATTATTATTATTATTATTATTATTATTGTTATTATTATTATTATTATTATTATTATTATTATTATTATTATTATTATTATTATTATTATTATTATATTCTCGCTTACGCGACGGAGTACGTGCATTTGAGCTAAGATCTTTTTCACCTACGAGCGTCCAGACTATCTTGCTGACACTGCGGCTGCTATGGTTGGTCCTGCACTGGACTAAAGTGATGTTATCAATGCCATGCGCTGCCAGAGGAGCACGCCAAAGGACATGACTGTATCCCTGTCTAGACTGATAGACATGGGGGTGCAGCCTGGAGCTGCAAGAAATGTAAATTTCACTATGTGGACAAGCCGTTTCATTAACCAAAACAGAAAAGGCGTTATCAGTCGTTTTACACTTGTGGAGCTTTTGAGGAGGAGATCGGAGCACCTATGGATCTATCCGGAGTGTTGTGATGATAATCATTTCTAATCACTAATCACTAATGAAGATGATGATGATAATGATGATGACTGAGATGTAGCTGAAAAAGACCTCCCACCCAATGGTTGGCTCATACTGGTAAAGCCTTGCGGCGCCTAACTGTGGTCAAGATGGAAATTATCGATTTGTCTTTTTGAGGTCAGAGGGCATCTGCCTGAGAGGTGACGAACCAACAGTTTGCACACAGTAACCCAGATCTGAGTTAGTTCCACAGAAATCTTCCTAGCCCAACTAGGTCACGTTTCACTAATACATTTTTTTAGACTCGTCTGCTGTTCATGGGGGTTACGGCTATGCTTGTCTTGCATCTTCGTTTTTCTTCCGAGAAAGAGAATGCCTGTGACATAGGTTGCAGCACTCTCTAAGGGAGTTGTGGGTTAGACCCAGTTTTTAAATGATTTTGTAGTTTTAAAAGTGCTGGCGTGCAAAAATATACAGCACGCGATATCAAGGACATTACCAATCAAGCCCCTCACCATTTTTTCCCCCTAGCAGTGGGCGAAGGTTGGGTGACTGGAGTTCGACCACTCAGAAGTGAGCTAGTGTAAAGTGTAAAACCTGGAGAGATTATCGTGAAACTAACCTATGTCTGTAAAAAGGATATACAAGCGACACTCGTGTCCGAAAAAAAAAAAAAGACTACAGTGCGGAAGTGAACTAAACACCAATACTTCGCTCCAGAGTTTACAGCTGGTGAACGCTAAGACGCCAAACAGTTAAGCTGACTTGGCTCTCATGCGGGAGACCCGGGTTTGAATCCTCTTCTCCGTAGGGATGGATAGCTTTTTTTTTTTAGAGAGAGGCAACTTCGAATCCTAACCCGCAGCACTAGCTATGCGGCCCCAAATCTCCATACTCAAAGACAAACCCCCATTCGTCCGTTGCTGAAAAATATTTCCGATAATCATTTTATTAATCAACCCTTTCTGTCATGTATAATCATTTTATTAATCAACCCTGTCTGTTGTGGACACTAATTTTATTAATCAACCCTTTCTGTCGTGGATAATCATTGTGTTAATCAACCCTGTCTGTCGTGTATAATCATTTGATTAATCAACCCTGTCTGTCGTGTATAATCATTTTATTAATCAACCCTGTCTGTCATGGATAATCATTTTTTAATCAACTCTGCGTGTATAATCATTTTAATAATCAACCCTGTCTGTCGTGGATAATCATTTTAATAATCAACCCTGTCTGTCGTGGATAATCATTTTAATAATCAACCCTTTCTGTCGTGTATAATCATTTTATTATTCAACCCTGTCTGTCGTAGACAATCATTTTTTAAATTCATCCTGTCTGTCGTGTATAATCATTTTTTTAATCAACCCTGTCTGTCGAGGATTATAATTTTTTTTAATCAACCCTGTCTGTCGTATATAATTATTTTAATAATCAACCCTGTCTGTCGTGGATAATCATTTTTTCAATCAACCCTGTCTGTCGTGGATAATCCTTTTTAATCAACCCTGTCTGTCGTGGATAATCATTTTTTTAATCAACCCTGTCTGTCGTGGATAATCATTTTTTAATCAACCCTGTCTGTCGTGGATAATCATTTTATTAATCAACCCTGTCTTTCGTGTATAATCATTTTATTAATCAACCTTGTCTGTCGAGGAAAATCATTTTATAATCAACCCTGTCTGTCGTGGATAATCATTTATATATTCAACATGGGCTCAAGATGATGATCTTTGATCATCTTTGACATAATCATTCCTCACTATCTTGACTAGTCCTGTATATAATCAACACTGTCTATCTTGAATAATCAGCTTCGTAAACAACCCTATCTGTCGATGATAATCTTTTTATATTTAACCCTCTGTATTTTGGATAATCATTTATACAATCAACCATGTCTATCTTGGATAATCACTTATATAATCAACCCTGTCTGTCATTATTAATCATTTATATAATCAAGCTGGTGTATCTTGGATAATCATTTATAAAATCGAATCTGTCTGTGAAAAATAACCATTTATATAATCAGCCGTGTGTATCTTGGATAATCACTTATTTGTAATCAACCCTGTCTGCAATTAATAGTTATTTATATAATCAAGCTTGTGTATCTTGGATAATCACTTATATGTAATCAACCCTGTCTGCAATTAATAGTTATTTATATAATCAAGCTTGTGTATCTTGGATAATCACTTATATGTAATCAACCCTGTCTGCAATTAATAGTTATTTATATAATCAAGCTTGTGTATCTTGGATAATCACTTATATGTAATCAACCCTGTCTGCAATTAATAGTTATTTATATAATCAAGCTTGTGTATCTTGGATAATCACTTATATGTAATCAACCCTGTCTGCAATTAATAGTTATTTATATAATCAAGCTTGTGTATCTTGGATAATCACTTATATGTAATCAACCCTGTCTGCAATTAATAGTTATTTATATAATCAAGCTTGTGTATCTTGGATAATCACTTATATGTAATCAACCCTGTCTGCAATTAATAGTTATTTATATAATCAAGCTTGTGTATCTTGGATAATCACTTATATGTAATCAACCCTGTCTGCAATTATTAGTTATTTATATAATCAAGCTTGTGTATCTTGGATAATCACTTATATGTAATCAACCCTGTCTGCAATTAATAGTTATTTATATAATCAAGCTTGTGTATCTTGGATAATCACTTATATGTAATCAACCCTGTCTGCAATTAATAGTTATTTATATAATCAAGCTTGTGTATCTTGGATAATCACTTATATGTAATCAACCCTGTCTGCAATTAATAGTTATTTATATAATCACGCCTGTGTATCTTGGAAAATCATTTATCAAATCGACCATGTCTGTCTTGGTTTCGATCCCCAGTTCCTACATCGGCACAGCTTTGCTTAATTATTTTTATTGCCACCTATGGGGCTGGAAATGACACATGCGGGAACGTAGACACCTACTTCAGGTGCGTGGTCTGTTCCAGCGAGGTCGACTACAGCACATTGACAGTGCAACAAGTGCTAACTCGCCAGTCAACGGCTGTGACTCTGTTTGTCGTACTAGGACTAATCTGTCAATTGAACATTGAAGACACTATTGCCAGCTGCCCAACTGTTCCCACAACAATCACGACTGAATTAACCACAACCACACCCAACACCACAGCGGGAAATACCACCACTACCCCTGCTACCACCACGGAAAATACCACAACAGCCCCTACTACCACTACAGAAAATACAACCACCACTCCTACTATCACTACGGAAAATACCACCACAACTCCTACTACTACCACGGAAAATACCACCACAATCTCTACAACCACCACAGAAAATACCACAACCCCTACTACCACCACGGAAAATACCACAACTACCCCTACTACCACTACAGAAAATACAACCACCACCCCTACTACCACTACGGAAAATACCACCACAACACCTACTACCACCACGGAAAATACCACCACAACCCCTACTACCACCACGGAAAATACCACCGCAACCCCTACTACCACCACGGAAAATACCACCACAACCCCTACTACCACCACGGAAAATACCACCACAACCCCTACTACCACCACAACCCCTACTACCACCACGGAAAATACCACCACAACCATTACTACCACCACGGAAAATACTACCACAACCCCTACTACCACCACGGAAAATACTACCACAACCACGGAAAATACCACAACAACCCTAACTACCACCACGGAAAATACCACAACAACCCCTACCACCACCACGGAAAATACAACAACCTCTGTCACAACCACCACAATAGAAACCACAGCCCCTACAACCACTGCTACAACATCACAGCCAACTACGGGTAAGTAAAATATTTTATAATTAAAATATACAATGTCAAACTATATCTGTTTGTTTATGTTTATCTATATGTATATATGCCTGTTTTTCTGTCAGTTTGTCTTTCTACCCGCCTGCCTGTCCGTCTGTCTTTCTGTCTGTCTTGTCTAGCTATCTGTATGTCTGACTGACTGACTGTCTGTCTGGCTTTATATTTGTTTGTTTAAATTTTGTAGAAATTTCCTATGTGGTATACATGACCGGTTTTCAGCCCATGGATTGCTGTCCCCAAAGGGGGTCACGAGAAGATTTCTGTTGAGTCACCTTGCAGCGTTGAGCATTGATAAATTATTTAACAATCACCCCATTGCGTTCTGCACAGAGATGTATAGCTTCTCTGCTTGTGGTTAGCCGCTTCTTGATGATATACGTGAGCTGAGTACTTAGCCTTCTCTCTTGCAGGCGCAGTAGTTGTTCTTTAATACCAGGGAATTCTGCTAAATATTATAAATACTATTCACAAAATGCGTTCAATTTGGAACTTTGCGAATTTCAATCTCTGCGGTAAATATATCGTATTTTAACATTATTTCGATTTATTGTCAAGAACCTTTTTTTACTGGGAGGTCGCTGTGACGTGGGGGTTAGTCTCTCGCGTGCAGATAGGAAGGTCATGGGTTCGCTCCCTGGCGGAGCCAGACTGGGTTTTTTTTTTTTTCAAAAATGACCTTGGCGCCCAGGTCAACCCAGCCTTGAGTTGCGACCGGGTGCAGTCCCGGGAAGTAGCGGCGGCCGGCGTGATGCTGACCACAACACCCATCTTGTGCCGATCGGTATTAAATCATTAAGGTCTAGACCTCAAATGCCCTATGCGCCTAACAGCGGGGAAAAGGCCCCTTTACTTTTTATCTGTCATTTTTTAAACTGTCATGCAGACAGATGGTTCGTTAGTAAGCTCATGATAGATAAAGTCTACCATAAGACACAACTACGCCAATACCGTCATAGTATAAACATAGGTCTTTTAAATACTTTACAAGAAATCGCCACTGTTTTATCTAAAATGTGGCTGGCAACCCTTTCCTCACTGGAAGTGAGGGCTGTACAATCACCCCCCATACACTGGCCGTCCAGTTTTATGTGGTGAAAACTGGGTTCAAACCCACTTATCCGATACAAGTTCTTCGTTGACGCTACTGCAACCTTTACCAGGACGCGTTAGTAATGTCCCAACTTTAGGTTTTATATAAATCCTGACTTAATTATGATTTGCTATTATAATTATGATTTATAATTATGGACACTAGAATATAAGTGTGTAATCAGTCATTTGTTTCTTTTCTTCTACAGTTTGCCTTCAAAATAGTTCATTGAGCTGTTTGGGGCAAAGTGACGGTGATTATGCATTTTGTCGCCCAGCTTGCGAGAGGGGTGGCTACGTTACGTGCTCCAACGGAGTATTTCTTGAGAGGTAATGCTCTATGTACTTTTTTTCATTGTATACTTTATACTTTATACTACCACAACCCCTATTACCACCACGCAAAATACCACCACAACCCCTATTACCACCACGCAAAATACCACCACAACCCCTATTACCACAACGCAAAATACCACCACAACCCCTACTACCGCCACGGAAAATACCACCATAACCCCTACTACCACCACGGAAAATACCACCACGACCCCTACTACCACCACGGAAAATACCACCACAACCCCTACTACCACCACGGAAAATACCACCACAACCCCTACTACCACCACGGAAAATACCACCACAACCCCTACTACCACCACAGAAAATACCACAACAACCACTACTACCACCACAGAAAATACCACCACAACCACTACTACCACCACAGAAAATACCACCACAACCACTACTACCACCACAGAAAATACCACCACAACCCCTACTACCACTACGGAAAATACCACCACGACCCCTACTACCACCACGGAAAATACCACCACGACCCCTACTACCACCACGGAAAATACCGCCACAACCCCTACTAACATCTGTTACTCATTGTATACTTTATACTTTAATTTTTTGAATGAAGAGAGTCTGGTCGATGAAAGTATTTTTATTTATATACAGACACACCCACACACACACACACACACACACATGTGCAAGGTTTCTGGGTCATATGCCAGCAGAAAGAATAAATCTACTTATGACACAAACATGACACCGCTGGCAACTAACTGAGGTGGGGTGGGGGTGAATTGTGGGGGGGGGGGGGTAGGAGTTACCTTCGAAGAATGTGTACAGTCTGCCATAGCGTCGAGGAACCAAGATATGCATATACATAAGTCAGATCTATTAATGGGCACGCAATACTCCAGATGTGAAACAAGACCAGACACCAACTGTCAGTGAACACCCACAACTTTCCACCGGAATCTACAACCAGTAAACACTAAGAAGAAAGAAATATACACGCTCGTGTGTGTGTGTGTGTGTGTGTGTGTGTGTGTGTGTGTGCGTATTATTCATGTTCATTTAAGTTTTGGGTTATTAATTCGTTGATCTTCCCATTTACACACCGGTACACACTAGCCCGCTTCTGTTTGGTCGACCTATAGCCTACCTCACTCCTAATAGGCCGGCTTCGAGTGATCCGACTTTCACACAAGCTCACAGGGCTATTCCGCACTGGCGCCGATATCGCGTGTTGTATATTTTACCATGTCAGAGCTTTTAACAATACAAACACATTTAGATACTGGGTCTAACACACAGCGCCCTAGAGAATGAAAAAACTTATGTCACAGGCCATCTTTTTCTCGGAACAAAAACTTAAATGCAAGACAACGAGATACCGCAACACCTATAACCTCGACCACGGTAGACTAGTCCAACCAACTTATCAAAGCAGTTGACCTTCAACCGGTGGTGTGTAAATGGAAAGACCATCGTATTAATAACCTGTATATTTATCTATTCGCAGGCCATGTTCTCTTGGCTATTATTTACCTGTGGGCAGCCCACCACAGCAATTGGTGTTTGACTCAACAAGTAGAACGTGCGAGCTAAGAGCCGCCAACTGCCCTCGTCACCAGGATACAAAGATCATTCCATGATAATTTTTACAACACAGTCGGATTTCTATCTGGTTTATTGATTTTTCAACTGACCCACTTTAACATAATTCTGAAGTCAAATCCTTATTATCAAGAGAAACGGCTACAGACTCAGTTCCGTTCTGGTCTGGTTTGCCCTCAATTTTTTTTTCCGAACTACCCATAATAAAGCAGTCTTTTTCAACAACAACAAAATTAGTGTTATGTTCGTGAACGTGTGTGGCTGCATTTGAATGAAGTTGTCGATTAGATTACATTGTTAAAATCAATTTTGATTATTACATTGTCAATTGTTCCTAAGATGATTAATACAGGTTGGAGACACGTAAATGAATTGTGACAGTCATTACAAAGAGCAGCAATTCGTACCATTACTTTAAGTATAATTTAGAACTTGTGTTATCAGTCACCACTCGTTGAGAGATATACTGAAGATGAGATCCGAGCACTTATGAACGTGTCCCAAGTGCAGTTGAAATTATCTGGCGATTAACTAACGAAATAACTGATGCTTATCTAAATGCCAGAATATGCCTATGGGAAAGGCAATGAAAGGTCACACGCCAATGACTCTAGGTGGTAGAACTTGTATAGCTGCTCCAGTACACTTTAGCACTGCCCACGAAGACGACAAAGGGCAAAGCTGTTTATCAATGTCTGGATTGATGGACATGCGGGTGCAACCTGGAGATGCAAGACATGAAAATTTCGCCAAGGGGAAATGACCTATAATTAATCAACGTGTAATTTGTCTCCTCCGCACTTAATCTCTCTTGTGCAGATACGACTCTAGCTCTGCTGTCTAAGTGTTATGTCACAGTTCATTCTAGCCAGCTTGCTCTTTTCTCTAACTGCCATACAACTTTATATGACAGACGATGACAGTTGACGCACTTCACAGGTTTATTGTGGAGCACAACTGCTGGCCTAAACAATAATTTAACACCGTTCTATTTCTTGTCGTTAACATTCACTCAATTCTCATCCAGATCCACGTGTGCAGTTCTCACTCTGGATTCAACTTCACGCCCTTTCAATCTGGGAATCCGCTATGCCACTTGATATGACCAAAGTGTTTCAGCTTTTGAGTCAAGATACTGTCTGTTAGTCAATCTTCATTACTGATGCAGTGGGGAGTGACGGCGGGTTCTGGTCGATGATCGAAGCTTGGAGACGACAGACATTTAATCAGAATGCGACTGGCACCATTGGTATTGAAATTCTTCGCTGACCGCTGAAGGTAGGGACGGAGTGCTTATGGGTATGACCCGAGTGATGAGATATCGGTTTTTGAATCAACTCAGCGCAGCTCAACATTTATGGGATTGATCACTAATCCCCATGGACGCACCGGATACAGTCAGTGCTAGACGAGAGACGCGAGTTGATGACACCAAACATGATCAAAACGATTTCCATCCCACTGGGATGCTATGTCTAGATATATATGCCAGTAACAGCAGCATAATGTGAAAAAAACATTTTTATTATCAGGTGCCTTGCCAGCTGGCATTGGCGTTCATGCATCTCCACAGACCCCGGTCTTTGTTGTTCTGGATCAATTCCACTGATTATATTCCTCCATGACACTGTCTTAAGCCATCCATCATCGTTTCTCTTGGTCTGCCTCTGCATTCTAACAGTGATCTTTACAGTCGTCACGATATTTTCCAGTGCTCTTTTTCTCATCACTTGACCAATGAACGTTGCTTGTCTCCTTCTCGCTGTTGTATATAATATTCTACTTTCAACCGGAAAGGCTAACCTGGTCAACAAATGCCCGCAGAAGTCGGATGTATTGGTGGAAAGTTGCAAATATCACAGCCATGCTGTGAACGGACGCAACACAATTACATCTTCAGATGAACGCAGAAGACAAAGAAGATTTTCTACTTTCATTAACCATTTGCTGGCAATCATTGTTAGTTATTCTGACAGTTGAAACTATTTGCAACTTTCTTCTCAATATAAACATCTCAGTTGCCTCCAAACTCTTCTTAATTTGTTTGCTCACATTCCAAGATTCACTACCATACAGCAAAACAGACTCTATGCAAATGCTCAAAGTCGTCACATAAACCTGTACAACCAAACCGAGAACCCGAGTTGCTCTCAGTCTCATCTTTTCTCTATCCCTGTAGTGCTCCCAAGGTAAGGGTAGGAAAAGGCTCTTCAGTGTCTCTGATATTTCCGCGGTTGATCTTCTGCGCTGTGACCACTTGGTCTGTTACCGCTGTATCTGTATAATATTGCTCTCTCTGGTGCCGTGTCTGTTGCATATCTTGTTAAATGGCCAAACCATCTGTTGTCTACCGATAAGTCGACAATGTCACACATCTTGGCAGTGTAGTGTCCCTATTAGGAGGGACAGAGGAAGACATACAATCACTCGTGAACAAAGCTAGAGCTGCTTTTAGAAGGATGAGACAAATCTGGAAATCCAACAGTTACTGCAAAGGAATGAAACTTTGACTCTACAAGAGCATCATTTTGCCAGTTCTTGTTTATGGATCAGAATGCTGGAGAATGACCAAAATGGATGCACAAAAGCTATCCACCTTTCACCACACATGTCTACGTAGAATACAATTTTAAACACACCAGACTACTTTAAGCCACAAACCAAGAAACCCCAGACAGTGTGATAACCAAGAGAAGATGGAAATAGCTTGGCCAAGACATGAGAATGAATCCTGATATATCTGCCAAAACAGTTCTCACTTGTATACCAGAGGGAAAGAGAAGGAAGGGGAGCCCAAAAACAACGTGGAGACGAACGATGGAAAGTGACCTGCGTGAGGCATCTCTGACATTCAAAACTGCACTGAAGATTGCACAGGACAGGAAAGCATGGATAGTCCTATCTGAAGCCTTATGTGCCACTGTGCATAAAGAGAACTGATGATTGAATAATTTGCATTGATAAAGAAAACAACAATAGTAAAGCAGAATTAAGAAACCAGTTTCTCGCCTTCTGGCGGAATAGGCATATAGGTCTAGATCTATATTTTATAAACCAATCGCTACTCAGTAAAGGATGTGGTCAACATCTCGAAGGCCGCTTTTACTTTCCAGGACCTTCACCTGGTACCCACTCAAATCTGGGTTGACCTACGAGCCAAGGGTATTTTTGACAAAGTTCGATGCCGTCAAAGCCCCATCCCACAAGCTCCCTATCCGCAGGCGATCGTCCAGCTGCTACAGTACCAGAGCTCCCAATAATCATAAAAATCATAATAATAAGTTTAATTAATTTTACAGTTAACAAAATCTTGAGACGCTGCATCCAAAACTCTCCCCCCTTATTTAGCCCCCACCCCCCATCCCCACCACCACCCCTCCCTCTTCTCTCCTGCCTTTTCCCTAATGTTTTCTGAGAGGCAAGGTGCCTGTAATCAGTTTTGAAGGTTTTGAACAACGGATCAACATCCTGGCACACGGGTGTAACCCATAAGTGCTCCGTTCTTCTTCTAACTCAAGTATCAGTCCAATGAAGCTCAGCAAAATGCACAGGCTTTGTAGCACTGGCGAGGATCCTGAAATACTTTGGGTAGATTTTTAACTCTAAATTTTGTCTGGGCAACTCCGCTAGGCTACTCTTTTCGATTTCCAACTGCCAATAGATTTTTAGCGCAACAATGCACACGGGCGTCCGATCTCACTACCTAACACCAAGTCAACGTGAAAAAAATTTTTTTAGCTCTTATCGGGGATTTTACACGGAACCTTTAGCACTCGAGGCGGACACCATACCTTGAGATCACGCAGCCCCCAACACCAAAAATACAGAAAATGTAATCTTTTGTGGTAAAATGTTATTAGAAGTTGCAAAACGGTGACCGAACTTCAAAGACGTTTGCCCAGTGGAGGAAACAGAATTTATTTTACAATTTTTTTTTAAAGCCTGGAAAAAAATATCGTTGCTTTTCTAAATCCTGTTCTAAATCTGAACCAATCGTATAACTTCAAAGCGATTAAGACGCTACCTTTTACCCTTTTTTTTTTAAATTGTTTTTATAACTATATTTTTTTTTTAATCTAGGTAGATTAGTGATTATTGATCAGTGATTAGAAAGAATTATTATCACAGCGCTCCGGACAAATCCATAGGTGCTCAGATCTCATCAAAGGCTCCACTAGAGTGAAACGACTGATGACGCTTGTTCTATGTTGGTTAATGAAAAGGCGTATCCCCTTAGTGAAATGTTCATCTCTTGCAGCTCCAGGCTGCACCCCCCCCCCCCTTTTGCATCAGTCTAGACAGGGATACGGAGTCATGTCCTTTGGCATGCTCCTCGGTACGATAAGTGATGCGCACGGCATTGATAACATCACTTCTGTCCTGTACTGGGATAACTATAGGAAGTGCAGTGTCAGCAAGATAGTCTGCATATTCGGTTTCTTGAACACCCGCATAAAGATGAAGGTTAGGATAGATGTTCGTGAAGTGGTCAGTGTTATAATACATTCTTCCTGGATAAATCCAGCTTGGATTTTTAAGCATATTTATCGAGTATTCAATCTAGGGTTACATGTATTGTTCCGTTAGTGCATTAATAATGATGATGACGATCATGATAATAATAATACATTATAATAAAGATATTTTGTTCAATGGCAAAAAAATACTTGTACAAGCATGAAACAAGATTTAAAAAAAGCCAATCCTTTTGAAAGATATATTTTTTTCACTATTAAAAGAGGTTCTTCTCCCCTGACAACATGATTTGCGGGTGAGGTCACCTCCATTTTTAGAAAGCGATTTTGCGGGGAAGAATCCGCAAATTTCACATGGTTTTTTTTTTTTTTTGTCCGTGCGATTGCACACATTGAAAGAGAATCATTTGGTACGTAAATATAAAGCTGTTTGTACACATAGATATTGAGGAACAAGTGTACATAATGAGAAAATCATGTGTTTACAAAGGGAGAGCCACAGGTTCATAATCTGACAAACTTACGTCTTCTTCTTCTTCTTCTTCTGCCTTTCTATCCCCCAA